GTTCATTTCTTCCTTCACTGAAAGATTCTTTCGTACACTGATATAATATACAGCTTTGTACCGGGTTTAAGGATGTATAAAAAGAAACCCAACAGACGCACTCTTCAAAGGTTAATCAATTCCAAGCTTGTATTCATGTTTAAGACATATGCTTTCTACAATCAATAATAAAGATCAGGCTATACCTTTTTGATATTTGGAAAACAAAGCACGTGTATCAATGGGATGAAGCTATTGTGTAAAATAAAGTACGACTCTGGCGCCTGCTGTTGACCTAACTTATGATACAGTTGTTAATCTAGATCAGTGTGATCGATCTTTTCAAATCCATTAATCTTTTATATAAAAATATGTCTACAGGGAAGTAAAAACAACATTGGTTTTCCACTGACCTGCAGATGTTTGTCCAAGGTGATCACTGCCTCAAAGTTAAGTTCTTCTGCCAGAATCACGGACAGGAAGTTGCCAATGAAAATTCTGTTTGTTATCTGGAACCAATAATATAATATATCCCAAATATTAGGAACCAATTTTTCTCATGTAGTCTACTTAACAATGTAAGAACTTTCTGCGTCTTAAGTCAACCCAAGATAAAAACCACCTGTCATTTTGTGACCCAGCCCAAATGAAGTTTTCAATAAATCAAATTTCAGTTGTATCAGTTACTTCCTCTTGGATTTTGTAGGCAGTTTGTTGGGCAGACAGCTTGGCGTATCCCACTTTATTGTAATTTGAATGTTAATGTTATACGCCCTATTTCACGCAACTCAGGATCAGCGGGTTGGCTGCTTCAACATTGCCTTTCAGAGCCATACCAGGCTGAAAGGGATAAAGTATATCCTTCTCAGCAGACAGATTGAGATACCAGATATTGAAAATTTCTCCCCACGAGAATTAAACTCACATGTTTTGTTCACATGGGGTTTTAGATTAATAATTACATCACAAATACAGACGGCTTACTTTTTTAAAACCTTTATGAACGGAGAGATGTGTCATTAACACTTATGTTTACTACTTTCGCACTTTCTAGTCGAACGGTTGGTATTTTATCTAGCACGGCGCCAAACTCTTCCGAGCGAGAAAAGGGCCACGTTATTATAGAGTTGCAGTGTCTAAGAGAGTGCGGTGAGCTATTTCAACTTCACGAAAGTATATTTTCTTTCCCAATAAGCCTGTGTTGTCACAATTCGTGCACCTTGGCCATTTCCGCTTGCTTGGTCCACTGGTTGACCTCTCGCGGTCTGAGAACTGTGACGATGTGGTCCGTTTGGAACTTATCGACCCAGATCATGCTGTCACGGAACTTGATGTTGTACGTTAGCCTGGTCAGAGAGTATAACAACACAGTGGTGATCGTGGGGCAGGGGGGAGGGTGCAGTAAGATAATGTTTTCGTATTTTTATGCAGGGTGTTTTAAGCCCTTGTTGACACAATATAGATCATTTCAGACAAGGGCTTCGATCCTGCCTGTCGGGGCAACGAGGACTGAAATGGATACAATGTACCAACAGAAACACTGAGATACTCGATAAAAATTCTCCCCATACGGAAATCGAACTAAAGTCTCTTTCATGCGACCGCGGAACACCTAACGGCTACACGACAAACGCTGGTGTTTTTTTCTTTCCTAGAATAGTTGCACACTTAGAAAGATTCATCGGCTATTCCGCATTTTAGCCAGTATTGACATTTTGGTTTCTTCAGATTAATCTTTGAGCGATCCAATATCCATATACAAATGTCGTTTCTATGTCAACATTATAATTAGAGTGAAATAAAAAGTGAAATGAAATTTTGTCAATGGATAGGGGACGGCACACTGATAATCATACAACAAAATTCAAATATTTACAAAGATTGTGATAGAATAATTTACTACTACTACTACTACTACTACTACTACTACTACTACTACTACTACTACTACTACTACTACTACTACTACT